TACTATCTGAATATAATGATACATATGTTGCTTGAAGGGGTAAGATTTCACGTGAAACCAAGCTTCGTGATGCCAACACGACGATGTTGGTTTCGATTGAATTTCTCTTGTAGGGTTGCATGCTGCATTAAACAAAGTAGACTTGGTTGGTGATACTGAATATTTCAAGACATGAACTTCTGTCTGCATAAGACTAGTTTCACGGCGTATAATAGTAGGTCATTGTTATTCTTTACCAATTTTTATGAATATCAGATTCAGATCTTGTTCAAAAAGATTTAATAGGCATGCGCATATATCTGGAAATTTTGTAGGTTGAAGAGCACAGATAAATATGAGTACTTTGGATTGTTCATATATTAGAGATTTCAGCTTAAATTTTTAGCATACTATATCCACAGTCCTAAGTTGCGTTAGTTCAATACTAATTTCATGCAGTCGCAGTGTACACTGAAGAGCGAACGATGTTCTCCGAACTGTTAACTTAGTGTTCCAACTGTTTCATCAAATGTTCTATCCCATATGTTTAGTGGAAAAATCAGATTGCAGAATTTATCTGACTCACTGGAATCAAGCTTTCAGAGTAAAAGTCTCACTCTCCATGCACCATCTTGATTTGTAAAATCACTTCGTAGAAGACCTTGATTCATTAGCGGAAGATGGATTAAAACGTAGAACCACCACGCAGTTTCACTATTTTCAGCTGTTTCTGTCACAGTAAATCTATTTTAAACACCTCAGTGACAAAATGTTGTGCTTCTTATCATTTAAACAGTACATATGCTCCTAACTAATGGCTAACTTGTATGCCATATACCTGAGAAATCCAACACCTCAGATGATAATTTCAAATTTGTAAAGGAACAGATAATTTTCTATTCGAATCTGGGAGCCTTCTAACAATAATGTAGACACTTCAGACTGATAAGGCGATGGAAGGTTGCGTATTTACGTAGAAGATTACGTAAACTTTGCTAACTGTAACCTATGAGAGATGGAATGAGACTGTTGACTTATGAACCACTAAATAACATCTACTTCTTAAGACTTATAGAGTTGTCATTTTGGCTCTCTTAGATAGGCGTAGTCTGGTAAACTAGTATTTATACTGGGTGATGATTGAAGGTGAAATGAAAATCTGGTCAGTCGTGGGGTTCAGACCAGCGACCAACTGAGCTACGAGGCAAAACTGCTGACCAGGTTTTTATTTCACTTTAATCACCAAACGTTTCGCTCGACTACCATGTGAATTCGTGAAACGTTACTATCGCTTGATCGTACTCACACTGGCTTCCTATTCAAGACTTCTTATCCTAGTCCAAAACTAACCGAATTATAGAGGGTGAGGATTATACTGATTATCGTTTTGACTGTCTGAGATAGCCCTGGTTCAGCAGACTAGTATACAATGCCACAAACCAGCACTGTCCATCTTTATAAAATAAACCATGAATGAAACATGGTAAATTTATTTAAATCGTGTCTGGCTATACAAACCTAAGTAGAATGCACAGGATTCTAATCCTGAATACAAAGGTTGGAAAACGATTACCTGTGTTAAGTTGATTACACAGATTACGTAACTAGTAAAGACATTACTATGAATAGTGTTTAATATTTTATCCACTTGTTTGTTCATTCATGCTTGAGGTGAACGGTCTTTTACGTTCAAAATAATTCTGTTGAGAATCATAGGCAGATAAAAACCGTTTTATATGAGACCATATATGCCTATATTTATTTGCATAAATACATACTTATCAGCATTAATTGTTTATTTCTACTAAATTTGGTACGCAAAAATGCATACTGATGGATAATAGCAAACAGTGGAATCTACAAAGCACGTTTCGTTCTGCTTGGGACTTGTCAGATGAATGTACCTGCGTCTCAGTGAACGATGTTGTTCTCACTAAGACTCGAACTGCGACAAATCACGTCGAACGCCAGAACGTCATCCACTAAGCTACAGAGTCGCGATATGTGCAATAAGATAGAAATATATGAGTTTGTTTCAAGAATTTTTAAAATATTCTACTCAGAGATTACAAACGACTTATGTATAGATTATTTTAAATGTTACAAGCCAACTACTCCCTAATTTATTATGCAGATTATAACCTTTACGACGGAAAATGAAATTAAGCCGATTTTTGGAGTGGGACGCGAATAGACGAACTAATAAATCCCTTAAAATATGACTGGTTACTAAAAAGCTTTGGTAACAAAAAAAGCAAATTTATTTAAGACTAGTCTTCCTTTAATCGCCTAACACTTAGTCGTTCAAATTGTCATATGGTTAATTTAGCTGAGGATGTGAATAGAATTTCAATGAACTGCTTCAGTTTCATGACTCTTATTGATAGCTCTATAGTAATAGTATGCGATCTTTCTTGGCCTATACTTTTCTTCTAATCTTCAGTGATCTCTCCATATTCTAAAGCTTTCAAGGAAGTCCCATCTCCTAACTTTTTATATAAGGGGACTCAGCTGTTTTGGCACAACTCAACTCCTACTCTTTTATTCTTTATAGAATTCCAGAGGGAAGAGTATACTTCATTGCACAGGATTTTGAAGGCACCTTCAACCGTACCGATAATAGATACGATTATGGTAAGGCATGTTAACTTATGTAAACAGCTGGTTGCAAATATTTTATCTAATGATAACTTGCCTCAACATACATAACCAATTTTTTTATTTGTCCTCAGGGAAAACAAGAAGTATACTAAACTTTATGCGAGCCTGACAGCATACAAACACTCAACTTTATTTAGTTTGTCTACTGTTTGAAGTAAAACACGTCGGAAACAACCTTATCAATCGGCCTTGCAAGAGCAAACAGATGTTATAGCACTACAGTCATTATGTATTTAAGAAATGCTATTACTATTATTTTTAATTCTTTGTACATCATAATATTATTCTTAATATATTTGGAAAGTGTTGTACAACGAGCAAGGCTTGCAATATTATATCCCGAAAATTCTGCACAATAAACTAAGTTATGGGTCAGAATAAAGCAAATACATTACATATATTATTGTTATTATCATTATGAATAAACTATTTAGGTAATCCTATTTGATACTAGACGTTAATTTTGCATTTCGTCAACATATTTATTACTTTAGGCAATTGGTTTTGAACATAATTAGCACATGACAAGTTTTATTCTGGGGATCGCAAACGACTGCTGGCCGCTATCCATCAATACACAGGCAATATTAAGACATCCGAGCAGGAGCCCATATACCAATAGAGACCGATGAATTCGGTCCAATCAACGACGTTATAATACAAGCAATAACACTAACACGTCAATTTGGTTGAAAAACGTCAGGCAGGTTATTTTATCAGTTTGAGAGTAATGCTGGATAGTAGCAAGTAATGGAACCCAAATTGTGGTTTTCATCTTGTTTGGGACTCATCAGCCAGGAATTACAAGTAAAAACATAAAAAGGACTTATCATCTGAGAGCAATGAAATAGTAAAGCGTACAATGAAAAATGAAGTCAAAAACAAACAGTTAACATAGCTGACTGAAGAGTTTCAATATAAAGGGTATACGATTTCATTGAATCGGAATATATAAGAATCTTCGACCATTGAAGGTAATAGTACTTGTCAAATAGATTACAAAAACGCCACTTTATTTCCTAACAATGAAGTGATGGTAAGTGTTACTAATGATCCCTTTGCAAGTAAATGCAATTGATTGTCACTATTGAATAAAGTAGAAAATTTAGGTTCTTTTAAGGAATGTACCCAACTTTGAAAGGTAGTATAATACAATCATACTAGGCAAAAACACTGTACAAGTACTCTTACTTTCTTTAAGTTGACTAACACTTTGTCAGTGCACTAGGAAAAATTCTGAAGATCATCTTTATCAAAGACAAAAAGACAATCAACATACCACCTTGAATATAAGTGCAATGATTAAATTTGATGCATTTCACTACAGTTGGATTTGTGGGTTTTTGGAGATTTAAGAGATTTTTAGAGTTGTTATTCATCACGGGCTGACGTCAATTGGAAGGATATTGGAAGTCTGGGAGCAATGAAACAGCTGTTTCATCCTAGCATCGGACTCTTCAGCAGTCTGCACCCCCGACCCTACCAGAGATCGAACCCGAGACCTTAAGGTTCCGTAAGTAGCACGTTACCATTGAGCCACTTGGTCGGAATCTAATGGTCCATATTTACAATTTCTGCCAGTTCACGATATAGCGCAACTATCACCAAATATCATTGTTGAGTATTTGTCCTCAAGGCCAGCAGGTTTGTCCCACTGGTCACGATTTCTCTTTAGAACTTCAGGAATCACCTTTCAAAGCTAGTCACCAATGAGCACTAGTTCAGTTGAGTTTGTGGGTTTGTCGGGATTTATAGTCTACTACAGTCCAGCAAGAGACAATGAACAGAAATACAATAATATCGAAATGAAGATGAACAATATATTCATAATTTCCAAGCTGACAGGAATTAAATAAATCTGCCTCACTGTGCTAGTCATTTCATCAATAGATTTCGCTCTCTGATTTCTGATATCTGATTGACTCTAATCAGATGTGTTAAGAGACGGCCTAAATCGAAATCAGTATTCAAGGTCATCAGTCGCCAAGGTAGAAGTTTTGTATTTCAACATTGGCTTTGCGTTACTGTGTGGGCGGAGAAACCCTACTGAACAATTTCGCCCTTCAGCTGACCAATGGAAATAAGTATACAACTTGTGACCTAGTGGCTTGATTTTATGAGGGAAAACTGTATATAAATGATACGCCTCTTACAGCCACAAACCGGTTTTTGTCTTCTGATTTTCGCGGCTCAGTGAAGTCTCAGGTCTGAGGGAGGACAGTCGTATTCCTATTTATTTCAAGTAACAGCGTTATTATCGTTGGCGTATTTATTATTATCCACTCAGTCATATCAAGGTGTCGTATACTTCTTCATACGGCTTAAAAAAAGAAATAGCGTACCTAAGTATATAAACTTACGGTTACTTGCATCCCAGTTGACAGAATCAATCTCACAAACCAGTAAGCCACCAATTTCAGTACCAACAACAAACTTGTCTGGATCGCTCTTAGATAGTGAAAGACAAGTAATATTTACAGGTTTTTCACTGTTTGATTCCGACAAAGTGGATCGAAAGTAAGCTGAATTCCTCAGTGAACTTGAGTAACTGTATATTGGTAGTGACGTTTGATCTTTGTTTCTTATCTGAAAACTAAAACAACTCAAAATGACGTGTACATTTATCATGCGATGATTATAATAACGTTTATATGGATAAATAGTTGTAGAAACCGGTTCAAGGAAGCTCTAGTGGCGGTGAATCACGTTCAAGTATCCACTGACCAATTACAGTCGAGAATATGAAGGACAAAGGAGATTTTAGAGAAAATAGTACTTTATTTACAATTTATGAATCTGTTTTACATAAGAAACAAAGACACGTAGATTTTCAACAGGTTTATCATCTTTGAAACCATACCACTACCTATATTCCTACTTATCCATATAAGACCATAACATATCCCCCGTATTCCTGTTAAGGGTCTTATAATATTTTCGAGACGACTCCACATGTTTTCAACATTGTTTCTTTTCACTCCAGTTGTGCGATCAACGAACTTCTTCTTGTGAACAGTAACTTGATGAGATCAACTCATACTAGATAACGGAATGTATACTTTCCAAGCGTTAGTGTACATTATTGTACTAGATGCCACCCATTTTTCTAAAACTGGTAGGATAGAATCTTTTGATCTATCATTTATCCACTGAAAGCATTCTTTCTTTGTATTTCTGTGATATGTATCGAGAATTTGTGACTTATTAATACAAATACATGAAAGTTACTCAGTCCCGTATGAGTCGGCTTCCTAAGTTACACTTACGTTTTTGAACAAGACATTCATCTTCTTCCAACACATCGCCTATTTCACCAAACTTCATATCCAATGTGTAAATTATTTGAGCACAAGTATCTCTACAGTGTTGATACCATTGTACTGAATAAAGTTTACTGACATCAGTCAGAGCTCCAGATTATATCCCAGGTGTTGCAACAACCCAATGTAATACTAAAATCATAATATGTTGTAGAGTTAGATGAAAGCCTTTGAAAAATTATCTTGTCCTGAAGGCTTTCTTTTTGTAGCAGACAGCACGGCTAAATACGAAATTTGTTGCATCATGGCTTTCCTAACACTTCTCGCAAGCAATTCAACTCTGTCCAAGTAACCGAAAAAGTATTCTTCGTCGAAATTCTCCAAACTTTTGTGGAGCATCAGCAACGTTATAGACGGACGTTATGAATGACTTACACCTCAGTATCCTCAACCCGATTGGTGGTCCTCAAGGTTACTCGTCACTAAGGTTTACTTTCACCTAGAAACCCAATGCACTTACTTTGAATATTAACCTCATGAAATCTTCTGCGGTTCCTCAACAACTACTTTGTAACAGAAATATGTCAACATACGTTTACTTTATTAAATGGGTGAAAAACTACAATTAACCGCCTTTTTGGAACCTCGAAGATTTGGATTTCGCCGATCACAATTTATGTCAAATGTCGCACAAACTTGAAGATCTATAGGCGAAAACTAACAAGTTGACAGAAGAGGCAGCAAAAACAGGACTTCAAGTGAATGTAGAGAAGATGGAGGTGATGAAGATACCTAACCAACACCACCACCAACAACAAGCACTAGTCGTCATCAACGGGAGAAGTCTAAATGAAGTTGTCTCTTTCACCTACCTAGGCAGGCAGCATCCTTTCAACTACAGACGGCACAGGCACAGACGAGGATGTCAAAACCAGGATCGGAAAAGCAAGACAGGCTTTTATCAATCTGAAACCGTGTGTGGAGATCAACCGCACTCTACTCAGCATGTAGCATGTTCAAGATCCGGATTTTTAACACCGATGTCAGTCAAGTCAGTGCTTCAATGTGATTGTTCAGAAACTTGGCGCGTCACGAAAAGCATTTCCAACAAACTCCAGATATTCATCAAAAGCTGCCTACGCTGGCTCGATACTGAAGATCAGATGAGAAGACGAGGAAGAATAAGCAACAATGAACTCTGACTGTCAACAAACCAACCAAGAACATATCGCTCAACAAATATGCAGAAGGAAGTGGAGGTGGATTGGGCATGCAATGAGAAGGCCGCCTGGGGACATCACGCACCAGGCCAACGCTCGAGTGGAACCTCGATGAGAAACGGCGAGTTGGGCGTACGAGAGTGACATGGAGAGGATGGTGTGAGGGAAAAATGAATTCTTCCGGGCAGTCGTGGAGCCAAGTTCGAAAGACTGAAGAAAAGAGAGTGAAATGGTGACATGCTACTGAATCCCTATGTTCCACTAGGAACCCAAGAGAAAAATAATAATAATAACCGCCTTTTTTGACACAAGTTGTCCACTTCAACTTGTAGACGTATATTAAATACCTCTAGAAATTAATGTTAGGATATCAGAAAAAATTAACTTTCCAGGACATTTCATTTCATAGGGATCCATAAACGTACTGATGAATAAGGGAAGAAAGAGGTAGTCCATCTGCATAAGCGCTGAAGTTAACAGTATAAAAGTCCTTCGAAGTTTGACCAAAAGCCAACTAATGCAAATAAACAAATACTGCTCCAGATTTATTGATACTTGGGATTTCCCGTTGTCATACTAAATCGAATCGCTTGACCTCAGTTGTCAGGTGGGCTTCTATGCGGGTGCCACTATGCTACAGTTGTATTTTTCCTAGTGGAGGACAGTGGAACCTAGGACACACGTTTGATCCTATTTAATACTCATCAGATAAGTGTACCTTCACTCCAGCGAGTGATAGTGTTCCCATTGAAACTCATACCCAGTATCCATCGCCTCAAACACCTAAGCGTTATTCACTTGGCTACTAAAGCTCAAGAGCTTGATAGGCTACAAATTCTTCGAGACTATAAGATGGCTACTTAACTATAGTGACGTGACACTATAATGCCTTATATTTTGGTGTTTTAGATATTTGGATTTGACCAGCTGGAAGCCTTGAGTATAGATCTTATGTTGACTGCCAATCATCTGCAAAGCAATTGTATCCACAACCATCAGTGATGTAAACCCGTGTCATGCATTATTAAAACTAGACACTTTACTCTTATGCTATTTAAGTCATGAATAACCTCTTGTGAGACTGAAATGTGCATAAATCAGCTACCAGTTGGGAGCCAATAGACCAGCAAGTTTCAGCTCCCCAGTACTTATCAAATACAGTTTTAGGCAGCAAGTAATGCTATAATATGATTATGAGAAATAATTTGTGTGTACTACTTCATCCAGTAAATAATGCAGTACTGATGTATACAACATCAAACAAACAAATTTATCTTGATAATTTGCTCGGTTGTGGCTAGCAGTAGAATCCAGGACGCGCGTTTCGTCCTACTTGGGACTCGTCAGCTGGATGTGCCTGCACCCCAGTGCAGAGTGATGTTGTTCCCACTGAGACTCGAACCTTATGTCCACCGCTATAAACGCCAAGGCGTTATCCACATTATCGTAATTACCATCTAGGCAATATCGAGGCATCCGCATAGGAGTCCATATGTCGATAGAGGTCGAACAATTCGCTCCAATAAAACAACAGAAAATAACAAGTACAACAATAAATAGTAATAAAATTTATTTTGGTTGGGGTTATTGTTTTCTTCAAGATACCAGGCTTAACTTCTTTTTCAAAAACCCCATATTTATAACAAATATTCACTTCATCTAGCATACTTGTTCACTTTCATATCTCTCTCCTATTTATGGATTTTGGCAAGCAAATTAGTATTCTAAAACACTAGTGATTACTTAGTCTAGTAAGCTTCTGTTACTATATTCTACCGCTAGAAACACCATTAGAACTCTTGTACAAGTTTCTTTTTACAGGTTAGGTTGTTTCGGCATAAATGAGAAAATCATACAGTCAGCCCGAAAACTTTAACTGCTGGGGTAAAAAGGTTACACGATCAGATGAACTGGTAAACATCTGAATAAATTCGACATCGATAACTTTCTTCTACTGATAAATTATTCACTAACAAGTAACTAATTTCACGTTATCTAGTCTTCAGTGCTGACTGGACTCCAACAATTACTTTGATATGTGGTCACCAAGCAAAGACGGTCACAAACACAATACACTTTGTTTGATGTTAGGTGGTTGAAAGTAATCGACAAGGAGCCCTGAACATGAATTTCATGCTTTCTGACACTCATCAGCAGGAGGTACCCGCAAACTCAAGGGGACTGATGTTCCCTATCGATGAAATTTATAGGATGCTCAAAAGTGCTTGCAAAAGTTGATGATAGAGGCACACAAAGATGAAACGCATAGATGGATTCACTCGTAGCATCTAACACTTCAGAGAAATTACCTCGACTGTCATTGGTGTCATCGCCAACCTGCCTTAACTGATCTGCATAAATTGAAAGATATGAAGCATAATTAAATTTGTCTTAGTCACCGAAGATACTAATACAGGACACACTAGACACATTTGATTCCAAGTATCAAATATACATTTTTTTGTTAGAACTACAATCCATATAGAAAGTCACAAATTTTGTTCATAAAAAGAAGACCGAAAATCCCGCCACCACATTTGTGTACAATGGAGCAATTATAACAAGGACATTTTCAACTTGTTCTTTATTTTGAAATAATATTTTGTTAGGTCGATGAACAAACACTAAAACAATTGCCTGTTGAACTTGTAGTGCTAGTGCATTTGAATCCCATACACGCATGAATGCTTAATATGTCTTCATTTACTCCTAATGATTCACACCTAAGTGCCTTATATCTCATCAGAAAAAGTGAAAGTAAACAAACCAAAGTTTATCAAGATACAGTGCGCATTAAAACTGCAAGCGAGTAATTGCACAGCAATGTGACGAAACAAGTAAACAGTTATTGTACTTAATAGTTACATACAAATAAAACAGAATCTTTACAAGCTCTTCACTTACATTTTAACACAGTTTACCATTTGCGAACGACATAAATCAATCTGCCAACATATAATTCGACCATCGCTGCCAGCAGTTAGTAATCGACAATTTGTGGAATGTATATTATTCAGAGTATTTAAATTATGAACATGTGATTGCAGACAATTTGTTATCCAACCAATCTGATTGATACAATCTTTATGACCAGTTTTTCTGCCTGTAATATTAGCTAACATATGATCACTTCCATGGGCAAGATCCCAGATGACTAGATCTCCTGAAGAAGAAGATAAAAGATAAACATTATGGGTTTCTGTGTATGTGGGTGCTAATTATCTTCCTAGTTTGACATTATTATTATTTTTTCCGTCCAAGTTCAAGAAGTAGACTTATTATGCAGGATAGATTGATGGTGACTGGAGAATAGTCTTTATATGAGTCATATAAATTCAAGTTATCTGACAAACGAAGTTATATATCGCAAACAGTAGTAGTAATTCAGACAGAATTGTTTTCAACCATCGGGGAATCGAAGACTTACTTGATAGAAAAGAGAATTATGATGAAGGTATCTAGCCTGTTAATAAAACACCGAAATGAAATATTAGAATTTCAGTAACACAGAATATACAGGATTCTCACCCTAACCTACAAATTTTATCTACCCAATAAAGTCGGAATACAACAAATCAAAAATTACATTGAATGATTGACTTCAAAGTTCACCTTAGTAAAGAATGAATCAGCTAATTTATTTTCTGTATTTTATCTAGAGAGGCAAATGTTCATGAAATGAAGGGATCTTACTGACTATTCCAGTTGTTGTTAGGGTGGCCTTTAAAGTTAATCCATTGAACAGAAAATGGAAAGTTGGAATCTCTGTTTGTTAGCAGTGAAAACATTACCCAGATAATTGTTAAACAGAGCAACCAAATTCAATGTGAGATGGAATCAACGAAGAACCTCGCACACGAGTGTATTCGTTCAATTCGGCACAATTCACAGTAGTATACAAAGACAGATGAGTAGAAAAAGAGTGACATCAAAGTGAGCAAAGTTGTGTAAGAGAATAAAAACAGTGAATACATTTGTGCCACTACAACTGATTTTCAGCCATGTCACCAAGAGTCTTCAACTATTGATTCTTATCGTCTCAAGGACCTTAGCCAGGTGGTGTACATCTTCTCACATGGCTCAGACCAATAGTCAGGAACTTCATGGACTGGTGTCACGTCTCGGTCTGCCTACCATGAACCCTTTTTCAAACTAATCTAGATTTCCCTAGCATTGCACGTTGATGGGTTCAAATTTAAGGCTGCTTACTGTGATGACAATTAAAAAGAAAAAACAGACTTCAACCAGTAACAATAGAGAATAGTTACATGCACAGTGAATGTTTGAAACTTAATGAACAATGAATCATTGCCTGTATATTAAAATACCTACCAAAGTCCACAGTAAGCCCTAGGTTCATTTCAGTTATAAGTCAATGATATGTATCGTCGACGGTTCCTGATTTAAGACTTTTTAATATTCTTCAGTTCTAAGAAACTCTTTCCTCGATGCTGTAAAATGAAAGCTTTTCGGTGTAGTCAAATATATATATATATATATATATATATATATATATATATATATATATATCATTTTGGCTATCTGAGATAGACGTAGTTTGGAAGAGGAGTATTTTTACCGGGTGAGAAATGGAGGTGAAATGAAAATTTGAACCGTGGCTGGATTCAAACTAGCGACCACTGGCTTTCCTGCCCGATGCTCTACTAACTGAGGGCAACGAAATATGACTACAGACCAGATTTTCGTTCCACTTCAATCGCCAAAGGTTTTGTTTGACTACCATGTGAAGTGAAATAAAAATATGGCCAGAAGTCAGACCTCGTAGCTCAGCCGGTAGAGCATCGGGTCAGGAACCCTGTGGTCATTGGTTCGAATCCGACCGCGGTCTAAGTTTACACTTCACCTTCAATAACCACCCAATATATATATATATATATATATATATATATGTGACAGGCTTTCACTAGTCTGAAATCAGTGTGAAGATCTTCTGCACTTGGCATAAAAAACAAGATCCGGATTTTCAATACTAATGTCAATCAAGTCAGTGCTTCTATATGGTTCAGAAAAATGGCGTGTCACGAAAAGTATTTCCAACAAACTACAGACATTTATCAATAGCTACCGCCTACGCTCGTTCACTCGATACTAGAGATCAGATGACCAGAATAACAAGAATAAGCAACAAGGAACTCTGGCCTGATAACGAACCAACCAAGAACCTATCATTCAACAAATATGCAGAAGAAAGTGGAGATGGATTGGATTGAACATACACTGAGAAGACCGTTTGGGGACATCACGCTCCAGGCCAGGCCACGCCCTCGGGTCGAACCCAGATGGGAAACGACGAGTTGGGCGTCCGAGGGTGACATGGAGGAGATCATGTGAGGAAGAAAGGAAAGCTTTTGGGCAGTCATGGTGACAGGTTCAACAGAGAAGAGAGTGAAATGGAGACAAGCTACTGAAGCCGTCTGTTCCACTAGGAACCCAAGAGAAAAATAATAATTATATATATATATATATATATATATATATATTCAAAAGTGTATCAACATTAATGTACTTACAGTGAAGTGTAGATAAGTCACAGAGTCGTCAGTTAGCAAATGTGTTACTGTCCTATAAGAATTGAAAGTATTCCTTACTTATACATTAAATGGATACTACATCACCTACATACTGAGACTGAAACATACAAGTAATGGTTGTAAAATTGGTGAACAGAATCATGGCTGATATTTGGTTGGTCCACAGTTCTCTTTCAACATGTTTAAATGCATGGAATTCATCAAAACTCTAAGTTTCTTAAAATCTTTCAAGTGGAATAATGCTTCTACTGTGACTTACTCAAGTCAACACGAAAAAATGTTTGCTAAAAGTAATTAATTCAACCTATGTATTGAGAAACTTTCAGTATTATCTATCAACTGTAAATCATGTATTCCAGTGATACAATATATGAATTCTTCAAATTCGCTTCATGATTGAGTAAACCAGCATTGCAACATAGAGAAATGATTAGTAATTATGACCAGTTTTCAAGCTGATATGATCTTAGTTGGTTGAATAAAAACGATGAAAGAAAATTATTACTCTTTAGTGAGTAGAACAAGTGTATGCGGAGTATTTCATACAAAACACAATTTTTCAAATAACTAGTAGTGAATGTAAGGTATTCAAAGATCATCGCATATCCAATGTTTAGGGTAGATTTATGACCGTTGTATAATGTCGAAAATATATTTCAATTTGAATTAATTTATACACATTCGTTTATGTTAGTCATCTAATGGTATATATATATATATATATATATATATATATATATATATATATATATATATATATATATAACCTCGCCTGGTTAACTAGTTTACTAGTTACTAGCCGGTCCTAAGCCCGGGTAAAGAGGGAAGGTTGGGCATAGGGCTAGCAACCCTACCCCGTAAAACAAATCTAACCGCTAAAGAAACTTCAAAGCACAAACAAAATATAAAAAATGAAAACAAACTTATTCCCCGCTGGAATCGGAGAGGCGAAATGACGCCAGTTGGTGAAAGCCTTCGGGAAGCCAATTGGCCGATGTGTCTTCTCTCGATGAAAGCGAAAGTAAACGTGGGGACATGGAATGTCCGCACGATGTTTGAACCCAGTAAGGCAGCCCAGATTGCAAAGGAGATGAGAAGGTATAACATCGAAGTGCTTGGGATTTGCGAAAGCAGATGGAATGGGAGTGGACTCTCCAAACTGTCAACGGGAGAATCAATAATCTACTCCGGTCACCCAGACGCCAACCACGAGCACACTGAGGGAGTGGCTATCATGATGTCCTCAAGAGCATCGAAGGCTCTCATGCAGTGGGAACCAATCTCCTCCAGGATCATGTCAGCAAGATTCAACTCAAAAGGAAGAAAGGTCACAATCATACAATGTTATGCACCTACAAATAATGCAGAGCAAGAGAAAAAGGAGGAATTCTACAGACAACTTCAGTCAACACTGGACAAGACGTCAGTTGGCGATATCAAAATTCTAATGGGCGACATGAATGCCAAACTGGGAGGGGACAACACGGGAAGAGAACTAACCATGGGTCGAGAGGCGCTAGGTGAAATGAATGAGAATGGAGAATTGTTTGCAGAATTCTGTGCATTCAACGATTTGGTGATTGGAGGCAGTGTGTTCAGGCACAAGGATATCCACAAAGCGACATGGATTTCACCAGATGGACACACTAAAAACCAAATCGACTTTATCTCAATCTCAAGAAAATGGAGACGCAGTCTACTTAACACAAGGTCAAGAAGAGGAGCAGATGTAGGTTCAGACCACTATCTAGTGCAAGGAACCTTCGAAATCAAGTTAAAAGCCTTCAAGGAAGCTGGTGATAGACCTCAATTCAAGTACAACACTCGGAAACTGAAGGATGAAACTACAAAGGAGATCTTCAAAGCAGCCATCAAGACAAAATGGGAGACGTCGAGGGACATCCCTGAAGAAACCTGTGTAGAAGAACACTGGAAGTCTTTGAAAGCTATGTGGAAAGAAACCTGCACAACAGTATTAGGAAGGAAGAAGAAAGAAGACAAGGAATGGATCTCGACGGATACCTGGAAGCTGATAGAGGAGAGGAGGATGGTGAAGCAGAAGATAAACCAGTGCAAGGATGCTCAACGACAAGAGGAACTGAGCACAATGTATAAAACACTGGATAAAGAAGTGAAGAAGAGTGCACGCAAAGACAAACGACACTTCTACGACACACTGGCAAGTGAAGCAGAACAGGCTGCAGGTAAGAGAGACCTGACGACATTGTATCAAATAACCAGGTTGCTATCAGGGAAGAGACCAACACAGATGAAACCAATAAAAGATGAAGAAGGAAATTTAATTACAAAAGAAGAGAAACAGAGGAAACGATGGGCCGACCACTTCAAGAAGCTCTTGAATCGACCACCACCTGCACTTCGTCCAGAAATACCACCTGCAGCCGCTGAATTACAAGTGAACATAAATCCCCCAACGAAAATGGAAGTCCTGAACGCCATAAAGCTACTGAAATGCGGGAAAGCAGCAGGACCAGATGGAATACCGCCAGAAGCACTGAGAACAGATGCAGAGACAACAGCGGACATGCTCACACCACTATTGCAGAAGGTGTGGAGGGAAGAGAAGGTACCTGACGATTGGAAGAAGGGTTACCTTGTCAAACTGCCGAAGAAGGGAGACCTCAGTGCTTGCAAGAACTGGCGAGGAATCACTCTCCTATCCACCCCAAGTAAAATATTAAGCCGCATCATCCTGGAGAGGCTTAAAGACGCACTGGATTCAAAACTGCGACCGGAACAGGCAGGCTTCAGGAAGTACAAATCATGTGCTGACCAAATTGCAACGCTTCGTATCATCATAGAACAGAGCGTAGAATGGCAATCAGCTCTATACCTCAACTTCATCGACTTTGAGAAGGCCTTTGACAGCGTCGACCGAGAAGTAATTTGGAAACTGCTTCAATACTACGGAGTACCGCAAACCTTTATCCGCCTCATTCAACAACTATATGAAGATGCCACATGCCAAGTAATCCACAATGGGAAGCTCAGTGATGCCTTTGAAGTGAAGACAGGAGTGAAACAAGGTTGCCTACTATCCCCCATGATATTCCTAATTGTGGTGGACTGGATCATGCAGCAAACAGTAGGCAGCGAGAAGAGGGGGATACACTGGACGACGGAAAAGAACCTAGAAGACTTGGATTTCGCCGATGACTTATGCCTAATGTCACATAAACTTGAAGATCTGCAGGCAAAAACTAACAAGTTGACAGAGGAGGCAGCTAAGACGGGACTTCAGGTGAATATAGAGAAGACAGAAGTGATGAAGATACCGCACCACCACCATCAACAACAACAACAAACTCCAATCACCGTCAACGGTAGAAACTTGAAGGAAGTAACCTCCTTCACTTATCTAGGAAGCACTGTTTCAACTACAGGCGGGACGGACGAGGACGTCAAAGTCAGAATCGGAAAAGCAAGACAGGCATTCATTAGCCTGAAACCAGTGTGGAGATCTTCTGCACTCAGCATGCGGAACAAGATACGGATTTTCAACACCAACGTCAAGTCAGTGCTCTTGTATGGCTCAGAGACTTGGCGCGTCACGAAAGGCATTTCCAATAAACTACAGACATTCATCAACAACTGCTTACGCTCGCTGCTGAAGATCAGATGGCCAGAAAAAATAAGCAACAAGGAACTCTGGGAACGAACCAACCAAGAACCTATCACGCAACAAATATGCAGGAAGAAGTGGAGATGGATTGGGCATACACTGAGAAGGCCGACTGAGGACATCACGCGTCAGGCCCTCGAGTGGAATCCCCATGGGAAGCGACGAGTTGGACGTCCGAGGGTGACATGGAGGAGGTCGTGCGAGGAGGAAATGAGAGCTTCTGGGCTGTCGTGGAACCAGGTTCAAAAGATCTCAGAGAACAGAGGTCACTGGAGGCGTGCTACTGAAGCCCTATGTTCCACTAGGAACCCAAGGGACTAATAATATATATATATATATATATATATATATATATAATGTATGTGTACACTAACCTGTATATGTTCCTCCAGCTAATAAAGATTGGATTGTTGGATGAAATTTTATACACATTAGGCAGTTATTAGTGATATATTTATGCTTAGGATGATTAAATGTCACTGGATCACTTGTCATATTCCAAAGAGCTGCGTATCCAAGATGTGTACACCAGTCTAAATGACACAGTGATCCATATCTGAGACCGCAGTGCAATGTTAAGGTGTTGAAAAGAAATTATACTTGATAACAGTAACTGGTATAACTAAGTGTTTGTTAGCTGTTTTGTATTTGAGCAAAGAAGTTTCATTGAATCTGAAAGGATAAAATGGAAAATGGTGGCTTTCGAACCTTTAATCGCTAAAGATAGGCGTTTCGCTTTACTTGACGTTTTTGCCAACACTCTTATCTAGCGACGATTAACTAAAAGACTAGAGCATTGCTTCTTTAAGCTACTACTACAACTACAAAAGAAAACCAGTGATTTCAAAAAGAGATGAAACGAGCATTTTTAATTCCATTACCAGATACTGTTGAACAGTCAATATCAGTTGGAAACGCAGGGTAATGTAGAAGCCTAAAGTGGCTTACATACCGTAAAGAAACGATCAGTTCAGTCAACAAAAATAAATACTAAACAATTACAAGTTTGGATCTCTATCCAATAAGCTAATGCGAATGAAACATTCAATGACTATTCTGCTTGGATTATAACATCGTTCACTAACTTCTCACTAGGAACTTCACCCATGACTTAGATTGAATGGATATTACAAATTAATCTTACAATCATTACTAATATTGTTATTGTTATACTCATCGCACAAAAAGTGGCTATCGTGGCTCCGCTGTCTAGTGGATAATGCGCTGGAGTTTGATGCAAACGGCCTCGAGTTCGAATCCTGGTGGGAATAACATCAGGTACATCCAGATGACTAGTCTCAAACAAGATGAAATGCGCGTCCTGGACTCCACTGCTAGCAACTACCATCATTACATTACTAATATTGTTGTAAAGAGAACAGATAAAGGATACGCTATCGCCAACAGTGCTCCAGTTGAATTCCATGATAATCCTGTAACAGACAACTTGATTTCATGTATGTTTATGTAAAAACGTGTATTACTCGGTTCTCGTTTGCTTCATCCAAAGTAAAAGTATACTTTTCTGTTGCATTAACTTTATTGAATAATCTTTTGAATTTTAGTCGTTGAAATGCTTTACAGTTGATATTCTTTTCTAGTTCCCTTGTAATGATTGGTTCAATTTTTGTAAGAAAATAAATCAGCTTTGTTTCTGTATTACATTCAACTGTGTCTATATCAGTGTTGTGCAATAGTTTGTCTTGATGAAACCAATCTGTTTGAATCTAAACAAGTAAAAGTGATTTTTTTTTCCCACTTAGATATCACAGTTACTTCTTGGCTTCGATACCTCTTGGACTGCGTACCACGGTGGTAAATTTTATATGGTTCACTTTGCATTTGTGCTTCAGCAAACGATCTGAAGAAGAAAGTATTTATTATCATTGACATTATCGAGTAATGGTTAATAATGAGATCGAAGACTCACATACCTTTTTATCCTGGGCTTTCTTTTCAACTGACCGCGTCTAACTGTCATTATTCACAAGTCTACTAAGATTCTAACACTCTGTTAATCGCTTCAAACGGATGAGAATCATTAACCCCTTTTTAACACTAGTAAAATCCACTCAAAGTAACTTAAAGACAGTTGCATAGAACTTTCATGATGTAACAGTAGCTGATCAACTCAATCAGGGAAATTTCGAACCAGCATAATATGAACTACTGCATATTTCTTTTAAGAAGAATTACAGATAGGATTTACAAAATTACAGGATATTAACATATCACCTTCTTATGAGATATAATCACTTATTTTAGATTTAAACGAGATAAAAGCAACCGGTAATATTTCTGGATTCTTGTCTTTTACTGATTAACATTTTGTATGCGAAAGAAAACTTTCGGAGTATAATTCGATGAGCGAAGTGCTTATTCTATGCCTAAGGTGGAGATTTACAATCCTACTAGTTGACTCTTATTCATAAGTATTGGAATTTTGAAAAGCAGCAACAGTACCAACAATATCTTGCAACTAAACTATAAAACTGCAAGTTGATTAGTACCGAAAAAGCCATCATCGTATGCGCAACCTAGTGCAGTGTGAATATTTGGTTGATACATCTACGGCCAGGTTTAAAGTCTGCTTAGTTTTCTCGGGCTTGCTATTCCCCAGCGTCGAAGAATTATAGAACCTAGAATCTTAGACACTATGTCTGTCAGGCTGATTCCTCTATGGTTATCACAAGAGGACTTCTCACTTTTCTTGAAGACTGCGATAATCAGTAACTTAGACCAGTCAAAGGGGACCGTACTTGATTCCCACATACTAGCTAACACTTCCGTTAACCTGACTAAGAGCACTCCACCACCATCCTTGTGTACTTCAGCAGGTAGGCCGTCTGGTCCTGTTGCCCTTCCTCGTTTCAGGTTACCTACCACTTTCTCAACTTATCCTAGTGTTAGTGGGACTATCTCAATGTTCCCTTCAGGGTCCGACTGGATAGCGGGGAACACAATGGTGGCTGGAGGCCAGTTAAACTGTTCCTCAAAGTGTTCTGCGCATCGTTCCAGTCGTCCTCCCTACGAGTGAATCGCAGATCCGTCCTTCTCCACTATAGTCTCACTAACCGCAGTTGACCTTTTGCCCAAAGTCTCGTTAACAAGTCTAAATAACTGTCTACTGTTACCAATCACCGCTGCCTTCTTCATCTCTTTACCCTTCGCTGCCCACCACTGGTCGCTGTCGTTGCGTAGAATTTTTCTCAGTGTACTTTTAAGCTCTTCATTGTACTCGGAGCCTGCAGGAATGCGTTTACGTGCATCCACTAGTTCGGAAGAAGCTGCTGGTATCCACCGGCTCCTTTTAGCCACTCTCTCGGAGTCGGCTACGGTCTTCAACGCTGCTTTTACGGCAGACTGAAGATGGCGCCAAGCTTCTTCTGGATGAGTGAGCCTTCTGTTCCGATAACTGCCTAGCCAACTTCTCACTGAACACGGCTTTGGTATTTTCGTTGTCCAGCAGCATTCATAGTGGTTTTGTTGCCAAATGTTTTCTACGTCCATTGAGACGCAGGCATATACGCGTTCGGACAAACACGTGGTCGATATCCAAGCATGTACTTCAGACGGAGCGACAGTGTTCAACCGATCCTCTCCAGAGATGACTAATAGAAATGTGGTCTAACTGTGTCCATCGCTGAGTAGAGCTCAGTGGACGCCATGTCAGACAGTATCTTTCTTTGTGTCTGAAATTTGTGCTGGCTAAAAATAGGCGACTATCTTAGCACACTTGCAGTAGGCGATCACCGTTATCTGTTTGTCCAGCCGGGACTCCAAAAGTGCCACCTAAGTGCCTTTCTGCCTCACTCAGTCTACCCATCTGTGTGTTGAAATAACCTGCAGCAACCACTACGTCCGAACGTTTGGCTTTCGAAAGGAGGCTAGACAGTCTACGGTAGAACTCGTCCTTCACTTCATCCGAACTACAGTCAGTGGGTGCGTAAGCAGAGATTACAAAGAGACAACGGCGAGTCTCACTATTCCTTTTAGTTCTCACTGTGCCGTTCAGCCTCATAGCGCAGAGGCGACTATCAACTGGGATCCAGTCTAGTAGTGAGTTTTCTGCCTTACTGCTTAATGCTACACCTACACCTGCAAGACCACGAGAGCTAGCTATCGAATCTCCAGAAACTCGAAGGGTGAATTTTGAGGACTCACCAGATTGGTCAGGAGAGGTAAGGTGAATAACCACACTTGGGTTCTGTATGCGTGTCTCACGAACACAACACACATCCATGGCCCGAGCTGCTAGAATCCTCGCCAATGAAGCCTGTTGACCAACTTGACAGCGGGTATGGACATTGAAGGCTCCAATATGTAAGTTGGAGAGTGGTTTAAGGAGACCAGGGATGCTGTTCTGTGGACTTAGATTGTTACCAGAGGCTGTAGAACTAGAAGAAATTGAGGATGATGTAGTATTGTTAATTGGGAGATGTGAAAGAAGATTAAGAGGTAATGATGGAAGAAGTGGATAGCAGTCAGAAGAAACTTGAGTGCTGACAGAGTTGTGAAGGCGGTTGACACTTCCCGGATGCCCACACCGTGGAAGGCTACTTCTTAAAGTACCTGAAAGAGATCTGTGTGACTGCAGAGCCCATCGGACATATGCTTGAGGCCTGCCACATTCAGGTCTTTGTGTATGTTTATTTTGACTTTTTGTTGTTTTGGGGCCGGATGGTCGAAAGGAAAAGACAAATGAACCAACACCGGTGACCGGTGACCGTGGGGTATGGTGGAGTGTGTTATTTTTGGGGCCGACCTTTTCTACCCCCTCCCTTCATCTGGGAAGGCGCCATCAGCATGGCACTGCTGGTCATCCAAGGGAAACACCTTACTGCTATCATACCCCATCCAGCTAGCAGCAGTACGACTTCGCCCTCAGACCCCCATCATAGTGTAGCAATTTACATCACAACGGTAACTGCTTTTTGTTTAGCCACTATCCAACAGACCTTTCTGATATGGTAGGACCTTGAGGGAACAAGCGTTCCACTAGCATGGCTTTTTGGGTCGCTGTGATATGCTTGCCCAACCACCACGTCAAGGTAGCAGCTATCGGTCTGCTGAAGGACTGTAGACACTGATTTTAAATAGATTTCACAATAAACTGACATTAGATATACAAGCAGTTAAGACCTGCAGTCACTGTAAATCTGTTTCATCCTAGTTCAGTGTTCATCTGTAGTTAACATTTAGCATTAGATGGTACTAAGGCTGTTAAGAGAACGGGAATGCGGATCATTTGATTTCAACGTGGTGACTAGGTAGCACTGTAGTCGCTAAGAAATCTGACGAACATGAGCATTATAGCCCTAGCGGTCATGGTTACTTACTACCTAGGAGGTCACAAACTAAGATTATAAAAAACGATGCTGAGTGCCCTCAGTTAATTGATGTTTCTCTAACCGATTTTAAGCTGTGATGTAAACTACTAATAGATTTTAAAGTTGTTTTAGTTTTTCATCAGACAATGCTTAAGTATTGGGAAATTTCTTTGATGACAACGAGTTCTGTAGACAGGACAGTAGGATTGTATAGGAGACAGCACATTACGTTCTCCAGAACAAAGTAAAATTGGTCTTAGTTTTTGGGGATTTAAAAATGTTCACTTATTTAGCACGTTGCGTTTATAACTGATACAAACACAGATTATCTCATTTTGATTGCAAATATACTTGTATCTTAATGATACATTCTATTATAGTGGTTATTTGGTATTTTAAAGCCATATAAGCTGAATTTTTGGTCACCACAGGAGTACCTTGAAAAACGTTTCTAGATTTATGAAGTGTAAAAGAAACCATAAACGATAAAACCGAAGACTGTTTCCTTATTCAGTGATGATTCTACTGTATGAACGTTACTTTATCACAAAACCTTAACGGAAATGATTTGCATGGAAGTCAGGTAGTGGAAATTAAAATATCCCTGATTTACAATAAGCACCTAAATATTCCGATCTTAAGATAAAATGATGACGAAAATTTCATGTAGTCCTTTTTTATCTGTTGCTCAAACGATAGTTTGCAAGTAGTTTAGGAGAACATATTTAGGCCAACTCATAATTAGTATGGCTCAAAAAGGAATTATCCACATGATATGCTTATCATAAGTTTTGGGGAAACTGGAAATCAACCTGCACATTTTTTATCCTTGGGGTTCGTCTGTCTAAGAAACAAAGATGGAACAATTTACGCAAAAAGGGAGCATACTAAGGGGGGGATAACGCGTTTTTGTATTTCTTTTCCTATAAATACGAAAGTAGGCTTCTTTCTTCCTCATTCTATAAGTTCAAGTCACCTACATATCTAATGCTTTAGGATCCAGTACTGACGGTATTTAAAAAAATAATGCAGAAAACAAACTATAGTTGCAACTGTTCAAAGAACACTATATTTGATCTTTTTCAACCTATAGTGTAGCTTATTAGAAGAAAAAAGTTTTGCGTGCACAAACTTATCTGCTCCTCTAGATCCATAAACTCGACCCATATCAGAACATAGTTTGACCATTTATTTGCACGTTTTCCCAACTAAGAATGTTGATTAGTTAGCAAATATAGTTTTAGCAAAAAACATTGCTACTACTTCCAGTCGACTGATACAAGTATCTCAGCAACACGTTTAGAAAATTTTCTGTATATCTCACTGTATCTTTTTATATTTTATGTAGATTTAGCACTTAGAAAAGTAACAAATTTCTCAGTTTTATTTGGTAGTCACAGCTTTATCAGTAACTTTCATTGATCGAATAATTTGTGAAGCTTTGAAATTAGTTCTACGTTGTTATTCGTATCTCTAGTGATTTTGTAGACCGGTATCATGTATAGAGCATTAATCTTACTAGGAATTCACTCTTTCCAATATTTTAATTTTAGTGACAGACAGACCAAAGTACGACGTTGGTGTATCAGTTGAGACTACCGTGCTTTGCCATAACACATTAGAAATTTAGAGTAATAGAAAGATATTAAATATTGACAAAATAAATGAGAGGAGAATAATTAAATCACTGATAAAATTGCTTGTTTTTCAGTTTTAATAATAAATATCAGTTATCTAAATAAAAATTACGAAATAACGACTTAATCCCTTCGAAAACCAAATGTTGATGAAAATATTACTCGCTGACATACTTATCCCTTGAACTCTTTGATTCACAAGTAATTCCATGAACAACTTCGTCAGTAAACTCTGTAGCCATCAGAAAATCTTGAAATCAACCGTATATTGATATTTTATTGTGTTTTGATTGGTAGTTATTAAGTTTTACTAAAAAGAGTCAAAAAACAAATAGTATTACTGACAACTATTGAAGCGTTTTAAAGAATAGGACTTAAGAAACTTTAGAATATTAAAAGTGATAACACTACATTTTTCTGTCAAACGTTTCAAACATTTTGCAGCATCTTAACCCTATATTTTGAGATAAATTCATGAAATGAACGATTATATTCGGAACATTTGTACACCAATCGCCTGTCATCTGTATCATTTACAAAATGATACCACTGAGTGCTAGTAAGCGTATGAAAACGATGCTGCTTAAGGTTAAAACGATATTAAACAAGCATAACTCAATCGGTTACAGTTACTTGAAATATATTTGATCACACTGAAATCAGTTCGTACCCATTATCTTACGAATTGACAAACTGAGTAAAAGACCATATTGATATTCCACAAAACATCTCATTGATCCAGCCTGCTACATTTCTGATATTTACAGAAACTTGGAATCACCCGAAGGAGAAAAGTAATGTGATGGACGGAAAAAATAAGGTGAGGAAAACAATACATAACAAGTAACAAGCTTGAGTTGAAAAAGACTACAGGATTTCAGTCGATACAGAGGTTTTAAGAAGTAGGCGTATGCAAATGTTTATTAGTTCAAGTTGATATAATTAGTAGCAGCGCCTACAGTAGCTTTCAAGCGATAAAGTGTACTCAGGATTAATTTAAAACCACATCAACATTACTTGCCAAGCCCTAATTTTTTAATGTCCCAATGACCTTAATAAATAAGACAATTGATACTCAACCATGAAGTTGAGGTCAACATTCAGTGACAATATGGATCTCTGTTGTGCTTTTCAGATAGTTTTGCACTGTGGCTGAGTGTTAGTGGATATTCACTGACTCAGTACATATATGCGATGTGTACAAATGTGCCTTGAATTGCAGATAAACTAGGTACTTTATTCAGTGTATAAAATATAGTTTGAAGTTGAAAATCTATTTTCATGACATAAAATCAGTCGCTGATTCTACAGGTATTTCAATGGTTATTCGGCTGGTTACAGAAGCCATTAAGAAAGCTTGTGGAGGAGCAACCACCGAAAAGAAAACAGGACATCCTCCCTGGAATTTTCGCGATTACCACGTATCATCTAACTAAACAGCAATCAGTGTAGACTTACGCTTTTAGTATGAGCCCATTCTATCTATCACAAAAACTAACTTGACCAATAAACAAATATCAGTAGCATCAAATTAAACCGTATTCCGTTCCATCCGCTCAGTTATAATAGATGAAAAACTTATTTTTCACGCAATACAAAGTTATAGACTTCAAATAAAGCAGGAATTATCTCCTGAACAATCTTTGTTTGACTCAAAATATAACCAACAACGCAAAGCAATTCAATCCATGGATTCAATATTGAGCAGCGCAAGATAATTTACATGGTTGCAGTTAGGAGAGTTACACATTGATACCATATAAAGTGAAAAAAAATTCCTTATAAACACTGATATAACCACTGCTAGGCTGCAAGTGAAAACGGTGACTAAGTAAGAAAATATATTTCAAAGGTGTAAGGTCACACCATTCTCCAGAATCCATAACATAGGGTTCGACGAGATTAAACATTGTGGTTCACCTCGATAGCTTTACCGGACTCCTCAGGCTGAGGGCACTCGGTCAAGCATCCACACCATTAGGCACGCTGTCGTGTTACGTTGCACTGCTCGTAGTCGATCCTCTAGACAGCTGCATGGAAAGCATCGGTATCTTGGCCCGACCTAGCAAACACTAATTCACCCGACTACGCTAATGTGATCTTTTCTGGTAACGTATCCATGGGTATACAACAAATTTGAACACCTGCTCATTAGCCTCTGCGTCTGTCAAGTTCACACCAGGAAAAATCCCAAGTTCGTGAGCCGACGTCATATAAAATTCCGACCAAGAACAAATCTCTAATTGGTGAGCCCGTTCCATTTTTTACCTGTTTATTGTTTTCATTTCGATAACCTTTATATGTCCATATACAACTCCTTCCCATGTCCGACCATACCCAAAAGCTTATCCGTATTAAGCCGATGACGTATACTATCCAACTCGTGCCACACCCGCCAGACAATGTAGAAACGTGGTTTCTGTATGCCGAGGCAGATTTTCGAGAACAAGGAGTCGCAGATCCACGTTCTCGATCTCTTGCTGTCATACGTTCACTACCGTGAGAATTAAACAGGCATATTACAGCGCATATGTTTAGTCCTGAAGTAAGTGATCTCTATGCACTTCTCAAAGCTGCACTACTGAAGAAAAGTGATCTCACAGATCGCCAGCGCCTAGACGAGTTGCTTCGTAACATCGAGCTAGGCATCAACTCAGCCACTGAAGACCTCGCACGCATGTGAGAAGTTATGGGTGTACAAACGCTCGATAATGGCCTTTTCCGAGAACTGTTTCTCTCGAAACTACCACAACCGGCGCAAACCGTGTTAGTGACACTTGAGTTAGTTCCACTTGATGACCTGGCAGCCTCAGCAGATAAAATACTGGAGATCTGTAGCAAACCCGTCTCCAAAGTATATTCGGTCTGCGATAAACCCGAGAGCCAGGATTCAGAAGTGACCAAGCCGTGCAACTCTGTTAAACAGTTACCACGACCTCGAAGTCCTAGGTTACGTAGCACTTCACAGAAATGCGTCTCAGCCCATCGCAGCTACTCACGTGGTTGTCCAAAAACTAAACCTAACAGGGTGGAAAACCCTAAGTGGTGCTGGTTTCACGACACCTACGGGGACGGAGCCAGAAAATGCCGGAAGCCATGCAGTTTCAACACGGACACAAACTCGGGAAACTGTCACGCCGGCACGCGTTCGCGGCAACTGTAGCCAGCGGAAACAGCCGTTTGCTTTACATTACAGATATAAAAACGAAAGTTCACTACCTCGTCGACACCGGTGCAGAAGTTAGCATCCTTCCCACACCAACAAAGGAGCGTCATCATGACCCATCCTTCAATCTCCAAGCAGCTAACGGCAAGGCAATCGCGACATTTGGGAGACGTTATGCCTACGTAGACCTATTCACTGGATTTTCCTTATGCCAGTCATTGGCATAGATTTGCTGAACCATTACGATCTACTCGTAGACGCTCGTCGTCGACGACTGATAGTAACACATAGTTATCTATTGGCAGCACCACCTACGTAGGTCCAAGCTTAACCATCGTTAGAACTAAACAATCAGGCTACGCGTCCTATCAGGCAGTGTTGGAGAAATATCCACATTTACAACAACTGAAGCATACTCTTCCGTGCATAACTGGCAATATTATGCATCATGTCACAACCACAGGTCCACCTGTGGCATCCAAAGCACGCCGTCTAGCCCCTGATAAGTGCGAAACGGCGAAGAGTGAATTTGACAACATGCTCAAACTGGGCACTATCAAACTTGAAGATAATCCTTGGGCATCACCATTGCATACGGTTTCTGAAAAGGATAGCAACGACTTGCGTCCAACCGTTGATTACCGAAGGCTTAATGCCAAAACAACACCCGACTGCTACCCGATACCTCACGTTCACTACTTGACTGCGACGTTATGCGGAATGAACATTTTCTCCAAAATCGACTTAGTCAAAGCGTGCAATCAGATACCTATGGCAGCAGAAGATATCGCGAAAATAGCCATTATAATTCCTTTTGGTTTGTTCGAATTCCTGCGCATGCCATTTGGTCTTCGGAATGCAGCTTAACCACTCCAACGCTTCATGGATGATGTCTTCCGTGGTTTAAATTTTGTCCACGTCTACATCGATGACTGTCTTATAGCGAGTCCAGATAAGGAAACCCACCTTAAACATTTGGATCTCGCATTCGAAGGATTTAAAAAGACATGGCAAAACAAGGCGTTAGGGTGTAGAGGTCCTACAATGTCTATATGGACGTGGTCGAAACGCATATCTGGGGCTAGAATAGAACCTAAAGGGCTTTTTATGTGTCTCTTGTCTTTGCATTTCTGGCAACTTAAGCACGTCTGAGCCCATACCATAACTCCTTTGTTCATTCCGGGCCAGCAGAAAAGTTGTTCATCAAGTTAGATGGTGGCTTGTACACCTGGATGGGACAGTTTGTGCAACATTGAAGGCGTCGTGTCGACATCTCTTCTGAACTATTGGGAGTGGTTGACTAGCAGAGACATCGCACAAAATTGTATCCTTGCCTGATCCTACTGGACACAGCCGTAGCTTGAGAGTTGTGGACGACAACTCGTGATGCAGCTCAAGGTCTTCTTTTTGACACCGAGCCAGTTCAACGAGATCAACGCCCTCGATACGGTTTATGGAAGGTATTCGAAATAGTGCATCGGCTACGGAATATGATGAATATCTGACGTGAACTGAAAAATGTAATCCAGCTGTTGTGACTCACGAGGGGAGTATTTATCAGACACCGAGCTAAGAGAGAAGGTTAACGGTTTGTGGTCTGTGAAAATAATGAAATCATGACCTTCCACCGACTGTCGAAAATGGCGTGCAGAACAGTACATAGCTAGGAGTTTTCCACCAAATGTACTATATCTTGTTTCTGCGTCTTGCAGCCGCCTCGAGAAAAAGGCTAACGGTTGCCACTGGTTGTCAGTCAATTGTTGCAAAACTGCTCCAATTGCTGAATCAGATGCACCAACAGCAATACTCAAATGAGCATTGGGGTCGTGATGCATAAGCATGCTTGCATTTGAAATGGCTTCCTTGACTAGAGAAAGCAAGTCTAGCCACGTTGTTCAGAGTCACGAAATTCATAGTCCCTCGAAGTAGATTTTTGAGTGGTCTAATGACTGAGGCACAGTTGAAAATAAACCTTCGGTAATAACTTACCAGGCCATTAAAAGTGAGGAGCTGCTTCACAGTGGTCGGCTCTGGATAGTTCGTGATAGCCGCCACTTTATCTCTCAATGGGCGTATAACTTTGTTGTCAACGGTATGCCCAAGGAAGCTGAGTGATACAACTCCAGTTTCAATCTTCTGTAAGTTGACTGTGATGCCATGTCTTTTTAAATCCTTCGAATGCGAGATCCAAATGTTTAAGGTGGGTTTCCTTATCTGGACTCGCTATAAGACAGTCATCGATGTAGACGTGGACAAAATTTAAACCACGGAAGACATCATCCATGAAGCGTTGGAGTGGTTAAGCTGCATTCCGAAGACCAAATGGCATGCGCAGGAATTCGAACAAACCAAAAGGAATTATAATGGCTATTTTCGCGATATCTTCTGCTGCCATAGGTATCTGATTGCACGCTTTGACTAAGTCGATTTTGGAGAAAATGTTCATTCCGCATAACGTCGCAGTCAAGTAGTGAACGTGAGGTATCGGGTAGCAGTCGGGTGTTGTTTTGGCATTAAGCCTTCGGTAATCAACGGTTGGACGCAAGTCGTTGCTATCCTTTTCAGAAACCGTATGCAATGGTGATGCCAAGGATTATCTTCAAGTTTGATAGTGCCCAGTTTGAGCATGTTGTCAAATTCACTCTTCGCCGTTTCGCACTTATCAGGGGCTAGACGGCGTGCTTTGGATGCCACAGGTGGACCTGTGGTTGTGACATGATGCATAATATTGCCAGTTATGCACGGAAGAGTATGCTTCAGTTGTTGTAAATGTGGATATTTCTCCAACACTGCCTGATAGGACGCGTAGCCTGATTGTTTAGTTCTAACGATGGTTAAGCTTGGACCTACGTAGGTGGTGCTGCCAATAGATAACTATGTGTTACTATCAGTCGTCGACGACGAGCGTCTACGAGTAGATCGTAATGGTTCAGCAAATCTATGCCAATGACTGGCATAAGGAAAATCCAGTGAATAGGTCTACGTAGGCATAACGTCTCCCAAATGTCGCGATTGCCTTGCCGTTAGCTGCTTGGAGATTGAAGGATGGGTCATGATGACGCTCCTTTGTTGGTGTGGGAAGGATGCTAACTTCTGCACCGGTGTCGACGAGGTAGTGAACTTTCGTTTTTATATCTGTAATGTAAAGCAAACGGCTGTTTCCGCTGGCTACAGTTGCCGCGAACGCGTGCCGGCGTGACAGTTTCCCGAGTTTGTGTCCGTGTTGAAACTGCATGGCTTCCGGCATTTTCTGGCTCCGTCCCCGTAGGTGTCGTGAAACCAGCACCACTTAGGGTTTTCCACCCTGTTAGGTTTAGTTTTTGGACAACCACGTGAGTAGCTGCGATGGGCTGAGACGCATTTCTGTGAAGTGCTACGTAACCTAGGACTTCGAGGTCGTGGTAACTGTTTAACAGAGTTGCACGGCTTGGTCACTTCTGAATCCTGGCTCTCGGGTTTATCGCAGACCGAATATACTTTGGAGACGGGTTTGCTACAGATCTCCAGTATTTTATCTGCTGAGGCTGCCAGGTCATCAAGTGGAACTAACTCAAGTGTCACTAACACGGTTTGCGCCGGTTGTGGTAGTTTCGAGAGAAACAGTTCTCGGAAAAGGCCATTATCGAGCGTTTGTACACCCATAACTTCTCACATGCGTGCGAGGTCTTCAGTGGCTGAGTTGATGCCTAGCTCGATGTTACGAAGCAACTCGTCTAGGCGCTGGCGATCTGTGAGATCACTTTTCTTCAGTAGTGCAGCTTTGAGAAGTGCATAGAGATCACTTACTTCAGGACTAAACATATGCGCTGTAATATGCCTGTTTAATTCTCACGGTAGTGAACGTATGACAGCAAGAGATCGAGAACGTGGATCTGCGACTCCTTGTTCTCGAAAATCTGCCTCGGCATACAGAAACCACGTTTCTACATTGTCTGGCGGGTGTGGCACGAGTTGGATAGTATACGTCATCGGCTTAATACGGATAAGCTTTTGGGTATGGTCGGACATGGGAAGGAGTTGTATATGGACATATAAAGGTTATCGAAATGAAAACAATAAACAGGTAAAAAATGGAACGGGCTCACCAATTAGAGATTTGTTCTTGGTCGGAATTTTATACCACGTCTGCTCACCAATTTTGGAATCATCTTTTAAATTTTGAACCGAATGAATGCCTTTCATAACGATTGAGGTGGTGGGAATTTGTATTTTATTTGAGGAGGCTTGATGACAATTTCACGAAACAACTGAATATAACGTGCAAGGTGAGTTCTGTTTTCAAAAGGCCCCAAAAGGTTCAGTTTAAGTGATCTGTGGTCCATGTGATAATGATCATAAGCAGTGTATTCGAGATGCAGCATGTATGACAGGTACAGAATACAGTAAAGAACGAAACTGACGCAGTTATAGTGTCAAGGTCGTCGTTATGACAATCACTAAAATTACAATATCTATTAACGATGTTGCATAAGGTGATTGTTTTCTTTTCGAAGTATCAGACGGAATAAGTGATAACGCAAAGGATTTTTGTTTTTTGACGAGTGATGCTCTTTAAGTTGCCACGAAGTGTGCCACAGCTGCAGTTCGGTAGGATTGCACGGTTCGGATGACTTGGATTACTTAGAATATGATAAGCCACCAAGTAATCAACAGCAATCAGGAGATGAATGCTCTAGATTCTTCATTCTATCTTAACAACTTTTTTGAAGCATTTCAACAACACCTCATACTGCTTACTTTTGGACTTTCTTCAAATTATTCACATATCTTTTCAAGCATTTTAGTGAATTGGACGTTGTAGGAATCTAAGTGAATTCTTCTATAGGTCCCTGGATGCTTGAGAAGGGATTTTAGAGTGAGGGAACTAAGTTTTCTCCTCATGAAACTGATTACTGCACAGGCTGTGGAGGCACCTATTGGACAGTTGGAGCTAGTGTCTATCTTATAGGTCAGTATTAGTCCCTGGTCTTTCTCCATGGCGATGTGGGAAATTTGCGTGCCATTGAGAGACTATGGATCGTGAGCTCATAGAAACAAGATCTGATACTTATCCGGGTTAGATGACGGTCTGTTGTCATCCACTCTGCAAGTGATCCGGTATCACTTTGTGGTTCGTTTGGCTCCAAATCGGACACCACAGCTCTCCACAACTTAACATCCTCAGCGTAGAATCAGGGATCTGAGTTTTAGGAGGTCATCCACACAAAGAAGGGGGTGGCACTAAGGGTTTCAAAGGTCTCCCATCCAGAGAGCTTCCTTCAGTTCGGAACTTTCACAAAACAAGCTCCTCGGCTGGTATGTATTCTATCCTCCATAAATGGATATAACCCTTCGTGGTTCCCCCAAGCGCTTAGGTGAGGTTCGTCTGAAACGTTTTTCTGCAGATCCCCTATTTAAGCCATGCTTTCCTCTTGGCTTTCAAACGGTGTTCGAGCTTTGCTGCAGCCATGGGGTTCGCTTCTTCTGCGTTGCTGTGGTCACTGAGTAATTTTCAGAGAGAACCCTTCTAATGATGTTCATCCTTGGTTCTGTGCTGGTGAACCGATAAAACACTCCACTTCTGCGGCAGTGGTGCTGTCTGCAGACTGTATTTCGTCACTGCTTAGTGCACCCTGCTGTAGCAAAGACAGGGGCGAGATCCCTTCCATGTCAGTTGTTCACTGATTGTTAGATCAAACACTGTCGTGCGTGATCACTGGTGCTGAGGAAGTCTTGTACTGGCGCATTTTCTGCCAGCAGGTGGCCACTGGTGGGAACGCGGGACAGTCTAGACGCCTCTCTCTTGGCCCCAGCGAGTTTCATTACCAATATCTTCATGAAGCCCAGCTTTTTTATGGCGCTTTTATGAAAACTGTATATAAAACATTAAACATCAAGCGCGAAAAAAAGATGACGCTTTACGAACTATCACTTCAATTTTTTAAAGCCTTGATCTTGTTCCGTTGTATTCCTTTAGTGATCACAAAAGTCTTTCTCACATTTTTGGCTTCTCACTTTTGACCTCAAGTGCTTCGAATGAAGGAGCAGTGATCTGAGAATCCCTGAACTTTTGCACCTGCGGCATTGAAAATAGGTTTTAAAGTTTATTTTTCATCCTCTTCCTCACATCGACTTCTGGGTGAAGCAAAAGAGAACGGCATCAAGGCCTCGTAGCCAATATCTGAGTGACGAAGGCGTTCACCTAAGAAAGGTCCGGTCAACTTCGGTATTTCAAGATGGACGGACAACCTTCATATGAACTAAGTTTACAGTAAGGGGATTCCATAAGTTGGAGGCTCCTACAGCAAAATGGTTCATCCACAGCAGAATGCGAATACCTCTATGTTCAGACGTCGCACAATCCCATCTTGGATACGTTTTTTAGCCAACGTTTACAAGCTCTCTGTTATGGTGGGTGAGACAATGGAAAGCTGTTGTGTTACAACCATGCCCTGCGAATTCTAAGCAGCGGTTTTCATTCGTAAGATAGTCAGGAATGGCTGGTGTTTGTCTGCTGTAATTTCATTATTCGCGTGTCTGTAGACCTTTTCAAGAGCTACACTTTTTTCGAGATGTGATACTGCGACTGCAGGTTTTGCTCCCAGGTGGGGTCTTGTGTACTCGGCGGATGTCCAAGCATATTGTATACCTTGCTGGTTCTCTTGGGAGTTGTTCACTTACAGTGGCTGACCATATTTTCATACCGCTGGCTTACAGCAATGAAACACATGTTAAAGGAGCACCAGCGAGACAGCAGGTGACGGAGGAAGATGTGTGTAAGTCCGACAAACTTCACTGGCCATCTTGGTCTGGCGATACAAAGATTGGCCAGGATGAAAAGCCGATGGTCCCTGAGGATTTTTTCAGCCCATCAACCAAGAACCAGTTATACCTATAACTCGTAGATTCCAGTGCACCAGCCTGCGAACTACTTCCTCAAAGGCTGTGGAACGACGGACGAGGGATTCTGTTCCTCACTGGCCTTGCTACAGCTGTCCCCTTCTTTCAGTTAGTTCTTGAGACGCAACTGGTTAGTTCTGAAACCACCTGGTGAGTTCGAATGCACTGACGTCTGAAGGGGTCAGGTACAGAAAGGTCCAGCTGCGACTCTTTACAATCTTGGAAACATCACAGGGGAGAAATCGGTCAGCGGTTTCCGGAGGTGATTGTTCCCAAGGTATTCACTCGTTGCTCCTAGGGTACAAAATTGAAGATGTTATGCAGCCTGTAAGAATACGGGTTGCCTTCATGCAACTTCTGTTTGTGTAGTAGAGCTATGTATGCACTGAGCAGATAGTGGATTAAGAGAGTGCGTTGAATATGTTCGATGGAAAATTAAACGAAAAGGAAATGCCCGATTTATTGTATCGTGCAATAGTTGGTGTTCAGAGCTGAGAAAAAAGCTGCGGTGTACTACTTAAGCAATTTGCGGGGTCTACCAAGCCAGATAGTCTGCTTTCGGGCCAAAAGTTTTTCCAACCTCTCACGTTCATTAGTATTTCGGAATGCAGTTCGAAACGAAATATTTTCAGTTCATCAAGTTCGTGGATTGTAGTACCGATTATAAACTAGCGAATGTGGTATCTTGGATTCATTTATGTGGCGGTTCTGCCACAAGCCTGTTTGGGGAAATTATTATCTCAGCGTCAAGGAACATCCCCAGGTCATACATTAGTTTGACGGTAGCACATGCAAACACATATTTTCTGTGGTCCAGAGAGGCCATTCAGGTGCCTTGAGAGGGTTATTTTGCTAGGTTTGTCTAAAACCGTGATGACTCTGCGGCTGACAGTTTCCGTATCAGTAAACAGTGGCTTCGCCTGATGCGGAAATTAGGAAGGCAGTAGAAGAAATGACAGCCAGAAGTGGTAAGATCGGTTAGTGGTAATCACTGATTGATATAGAAGCCCAGGGTACAGATGAAGGCTAAAGAAATAAAAATCAACGAAAATAAGGATATGTGCAAACAGGTATTAAGAATGAAAAGGACTAATTATGTCAAAATGTGATTTATGCTAATATAGTCTACTCTAGAGCATGGCAGTTACAATGATAGAAATAATAAAGAGTCTGTTCGAGGAAAATTTTGATTGCCAGTCCACTCTCTTCGTTTTACTGACGCTTAATTCAAACGAACGTAGTATATGGGTGCTTCATGACAACCTGACTCCCCTTCAAATTTTTAATGGCATCCAATAATTTTCTACAGTGTGAGGTGTGCTTCACCTCTGCTGAAGTGATATCAAGTTAAAGAAAGAAAAAAGTATTTTAATCAAGTTTAAGGTTTCGGCATTTATTTTCAAGTTGGTAAACATGATACAACGATGCCGGAGAAAAATAATTATTTCCGTTTCCACTCAGAAACTTTTGTAGCTTCACTTGGTTGAAACGTAGAAGGAGAGGTTGGAATTCATGACCTTAAGCTAATCTCAACCACCAAGGCTGGATGCTGACCTAATAACTAAAGTCCCCAAACATTTTCATCCTCAAGTACTAGTTAGTACGAAACTGTTTTTGTAAGTGACAACCTACAGCTGTGTAGCTAGTACTATGCCTGATTTTCTTGGCTCCTTATCTACACCTTGTTGCTGTTAAACATTTGTTCTTCTCACTTAAGTGGTCGGCTGACTTCCATTTCCTCCTTCCTAACTTCAAAAGTCGCCCTCTGTTTTATGAACTTTTGACGTGAACTGGCCTGAGACTACGGTAACTACATGGTTCTGCGACCAACAAAGAGCAGCAGGTAGTAGGCAACATGCAAATATTCATTTATGAAGTTTTCCTCATTATTCTGACTCAAAATAAATGAGGCGTAACGTTGGAAGTACTGGATACAAGTTTTATTTTTCTCCGGGAGGTACATATAGTGATTGTGCAAAAGTCCTGGATTTTTTATGAATGCGAAAGCAACACTTTCACTTGTCCATCGTTCCGGTCTGTGAATACCTATTCTGCTACCATGATTCACCCTAGTGATATGCAACACATATGGCTCCCAGCGAATGAACAGATTAGGGCTGAAGCCACATGCCTTTAGAAAACATGTAACTTACATTGGAATATTTTTCATACCTTTAGAAATGATATGTGACTGTATATTTCTCTCAATGAGTGAAGACTCTAGGGGAAGCGAGCCGGTGTTTCATCCGCGGGAATGAATTTGCTGAACTACTCCCCCTTCTAATTTGCATGATGCTTTTGCATACTCACTGAACACCATTTTCTTTCCTTCCAGAAAGCTTTGATGTGCCCTTGAGTAAACATAGGAATTCTATGGTTGGCCTGCATAAGTAACGTACATTATTAGTATGTGGTGTGAAATCCTCTTTTTTTCAGCCTGGGTATTGCTGCCACCGGGAATGAGAAGGGGTTGTAGACAATTTAATCGCAGATTTTTGTCACTAAATGCGGTAACTATA